ATAACCATGAGAGTGGTGAATTGATTTTTAAATTTTTTTTCGAAAAATTAACTTATAATCAACAAGTAATAACTAGATAGATTGGTTTAAAGATCAAGCACAAATATGAAAGCAATAAGCGAAGAGGGATAAAGAATGCAAACGATATATTTGTGGAAGTTCGATCCAACACAATGATCTACGTCCCCCGTTACCAAATTTTTCGGCACAAGTAAGGCCAATTTCACTATGTTGATTGATTTATGGTGCAATCCAACCCTTTACAATGGTTCATGTGACTTACAAGCAAGGAGCACCGATTCTTTTACAACGTTGAGTTTTCCGGGACCTCAACACGACCCACAATTCAAGTAAGTTTACAAATGAAATCTTTTATCCTCAATCAATGGTGATTCCGAAGTTGAGTACAAGAAGAGAAGTGAGCTAACACTTTAATAGATAGCAATGAATGAAACTCAAGTGTTAGGTGTGGAAGTCTTTGATGTATGAAATGAATTTCAAGAATTAATTTGATCAAAAGACTTTTCAATTGTAAGTGGTTTGATAATGAGTGATATGAGAAATCAATACAATATTTGTTCAAACGAATATCAATTGAATGCTCAAAAGTCCACTTTACAAATGGTAAGTCATTTTGTATTTATAGCAGTTGAAAAAGATAAATTTTCTGCCAAATTGGACGATCCATCCGGACGTTCGGTTCAGAATCGGATGACCCCAGTAAGTAGCCGTTTGAAACTTGTCAGAACGGTCAAAAATTTGACCATTACTGGCGAACCGGACGTCGGGATGACCAAAGTTTTTTCTGGGTCACAATTTTGGTTTTGTTTTCAGTTAGTAAATATTTTGCATGACATTTTTTGCTAGATATTTCAAGGTAAGTGAGATTTAATAGTCTTCAAGATTAGGTTGAAAAATCTTACTTTTGAAAATAATTTTTGTGCAAACATTTTAGTGACGTGAATTTTTATCGTGTATAAAAAATTCATCACTTGAGCTTTCAATGTGTCTTTACCAAAAATTAAAGTGATTTACCTATATAAACGAGCTAAAAACTTCTAGTTCCAATGTCTTCGATTTATTTGGCGCAAGTGCTCGATTTGTTGCTTGATTTTAAAATGGCGCAAAGTTTTTCTTCATGAGTGCTCGATCGATCTTTATCTTGAGCTTCCTTGATCGACAACTTTTCTTCCAATAGTTTTGTCTCAAGTTTGGCAACATGTAACAATTTGAATATTAGAATTAGAGATAAACATGGTTTGTTTGTTATAATCAAAACATAAGATTCGACCATTGGTCAACAATTTCCCCATTTTTTATTATGACAAACAATAGATAATTTGCTATAAAAGGAATATATCATTTGATTTATACACTTGCAATGTTCTTCCCCATATGTTTTATAGATCAAGAATTCCCCCTTTCGTATTCACGTTAAGCACAATAATCATATGCAAATCATCATGCAAAGTATGCAAATCATCGTTCATATGTTTTCCTCCTTTTGGCATAAACAAAAAGAATATAACATAGAGAAGCACCATAAGAAGATAAAGCAAAACATAAGATAAAGAAACCTGGAAGAGAAATAGCAACATGAAAATGAAATATTCAACATGTAGCAATGTTAACATGAAACAAAATGAGAGAAATTTTTCATAGTAAAGCAAATAAAGATAAATTTCATGACAATGTGAGATTGCACTAAGACTAGGACTCCGGAGGAGGTGGTGGAGGAAACTAGGCATAGATATGGGCGTAGAAGGCATTCTATTGTGCCTGCATCACCGTCTGTTGAGCTTGAATGGCCTCATGTTGAGTTAGCACCTGATGGAGTATTCCACTGAAGCCATCAACCATGGATGTAAGAGAATCAATGCGGTCATTCAAGTCGTTGTACTGATCCTCGGTGAAGATGAAACTGCTGCCTGAGGAAGGATGGATGCTAGACCCCGGAATGTCTGGAGGATGGACATGAGCTTCTTGTACATCATCATCGTCACCCTCAAAGGGTGGAGTTGATGGACCTGAGGTAGGGTCGAATCCCCTAGTGTGCGCCACCTACTGACCATGTTCCTTCGTGATTTTCATGCGTCTAAGTGTTTTGATGTTGATAATGTCGGTGGGTTTAAGTTGGACAAATGTTTCACTATCCAATGAGACGTGAAAATGTTTGAAAATTTTGGTGAGAAGCATGCCATATGGTAAATCTTTAACATTTCGTAACGGATGGACAAGCTTCATGAGTCCGAATGCAATGGTTGGAAAGTTAAGTTTTCTACCGACCAGAAATGAATAAAAAATGAAGAGATCAAATGAGCTTACTTCATCTCGATGACCTTTTCGGGGTAGGATAACATTTGCAATAATGTTGTGTAAGACTTTGCATGGAAGAGATAGTTGATGTGCACTTTGGTAATATTTTCAAAATCATTCTAGATGACGCGATGGCACGCCTCGAAGGGGTCATATCCATCAAGCGTGGGATGTGCTTTGTATAAAAAATTGTGTTTCACACACTTCAAGTTCTAAGATGTCACGAATGAGTACTTTGGTTATGATAACGCGTTTATTTTTTACCAAACACGAAATTTTATTTGAACGATAAATCGACATATTGTGATAAAACTCTTGCATAAGACGTGGGTATGTTTGTTCTTCTAGTGTTGCAATTGAAATTCATCCCATGTTTTCAAAAAGTTCCTCAATGTGAAATGCAGGTGCTTCTATGGTAAAATCAGCAAAATCAACATTCTTACCAATTAAAATGGGTGATTTGGCAAATGGATTGGACGACATCTCGGGTTCCAAGTCGAACGCATCATCGAAAGAAGAAGGTGAAGTGCACATCTCCATTGTTTTGAGCCTTTTACTTGTCCGTTTAGAGCTTGCCATAGTTGAAAATTGACGATGAGTGTATGTGGAAGATCAAGGGTTCAAAAATTTGGGTGAAAGGTGAGTTTTGAAGATGAATAGTAAATATTTTGAGAAATGGAGATGTAAAAGTGATGGGTTTTGTCAAATGAAGGTGTAATTGATGTTGTGAGGTGAAAATTGGAGTTATGGAGAAAAGATTTAGGAGAGGAATTAAGAGAAATGGTGAAAATGATAGAAGATGGAGTTTTTTCGCGAAAATGATAGAAACGGGAGCCATCTAGACGTCTGGTTTGGCAGAACATTTTTTTGCCAAATCGGACGAGGAACCGGACGGAGCCATCTAGACGTCTGGTTTGGCAGAACATTTTTTTGCCAAATCGGACGCTGGAACCGGACGTCCGGTTCCTCGTCCGGATGATTTTTTTTTTAAATGCACATGAATTAAAACATATATAATCATATATGAGGTTCAATCATGTAATTCAAATTCATCAATTATGCGTAAACTCATCTAAGATGTGAGAATCGATCAAGAGTTAAAGGTTTTGTGAAGATATCGGCCAATTGATTTTCCGTGTTTACGAATTCTAGCACAGTATCACCCTTTTGAGCATGGTCTCTAAGAAAGTGATGTCGAATCTCAATATGTTTTCTCCTAGAGTGCAAAATAGGATTTTTATNAACAATATCACCATTTTGAGCATGGTCTCTAAGTAAGTGATGTCGAATCTCAATATGTTTCATCCTAGAGTGCAAAATAGGATTTTTAGATAGCTTAATAGTACTAGTGTTATCACATATGATGGGGGTATGATCAAAGGATAAGTGATAATCACTAAGAGTTTGTTTCTTCCATAAAACTCGTGCACAACAAATTGCAATCGAGATATATTAGGCTTCGACGGTAGATAGTGCAACGGAGTTTTTTTTTTTTGCTAAACCGTGATACAAGTGCAAAGCCT